GTTTGACAGGAAGCTTTATGAAGGGGTTTTGGAATAAGAAATGTTGGTTTTGGACTGGGACATATTCACATGCATGTTCTTGTGTCAAACCACCTATTTCCTGCTTAAAATCCCCTTTTAAAGGGACACAGATTCAAAACTCTCTCAAAACGCCATTTTCCTTAGGAAACAGCCTTGACAGTCAGCTCTCGCAATCTCCAGGAATAAAGTTTAACGGAGAAAAAAGCCAACCATGCCCAAAACAGCTCACAGGAGCAGCCGGGAATAGGGGAACAGTTTGTTCCTCCTGCAGTGTCCCCTGGGATGCCTGCAAGAGGATGGAGGGGCCAGCAACCCACAACCAGCCTGGCACTCTGTTGGGCTCACTCTAGGTTATTCACACAACTACCAACCCACCAATAACCCAGTTTATTGCCCAGGATGCATTGTCAAGATGTGCAAACACAGCCAGCCTGCCGAATGTATTCACGTCACACTGTAGTGCTGGTTTTGAGTACCTATACTTGGATGGGCGACATGGCAGCAATGGCATTTTGGCAAGGAAAGATGGGATATAGAGCCAATAAATATAATAAGATTTAACAATAAAAAAACAAATGGACACTTGGTGAACAGTGGCCTGTATATGTAGGCATTTGCATATATCACTGTCTCATCTGCATACATTGCATATGAATGGGCTGTGCAAATCTGCACAGGGACTCAGGCATACAATCTGGCCCTTCCTCACTTACAGTGACTATCAGCATTTGGCTGTGATGGGCTAAAAGGAGAAACACAGCCAGTGTTTAGTCTGCCAGCTTTAAGAACAAATCCAAATTGGAATAGGCCTCTGACTTCTATGACTCGCTATATCTAAAATCACTCTAATCTAACATATGATTTATTTTTAATGTGATGTTTATTAATACCATAATGAATATTACATGTCTATGGTATTTTTAATTCTTCATTTAAAACACCATGTTTTATCTGCTTGGATATTTATTACTTCTTTTTAAATCATTTTAAACTATTATTGCTGCTTTAGAAACTTTCCTTAAAACATTTTATTATCTCTTAATGTATATTATTTTTATTATACATGTTGTCCTAAAAGGTTTGATGATTAGAAATCTCATACACTAAATAATCTGAGATACAAAACTGAACTCTAGGCAGGTCTCCTCATACTTCCAAGGCAAAATAAAACAGTTTCCTTGTCCTACTCTCAAGCCACAGTTAAAACTGAAACAAGAAATCTACTATAATTAAACATTAACAGCAAGATAAACATACTATGAAACAAAACATCCACAGGTTTTCACACAACATGAAACTGATGCCTTATCAGACTTCATTCTGTACAACCAGGATTCAAAGCTGCCCATAGCTCTCTGAAAACTAATCACTTTTCACATGAAAGCGTCCTTTTCCAAATAAAATCCTTCTGCTCATGGCAACTTACTTCTTTTCCTGGGCTCTGGCTGCTATCCAATGCCTGCTTTCCCCCACATAAACCCCACTTAATGGGTTCTTTTCTCAAGGAAATATGCAGAGGCTTCCTTTGCTTGTTTCCTTGCCCTTCAGGCTCCCCTAAACGGTATTTATGCAGTGGCATGAGGGGGTCTGTAGCCCTTCTGCAGTAGGCAGGTAGTTTATGCCATCACCTTTCACCCTGATGATACTCAAACACCATCACTTAATTTCTCCAGATGTACAGTAAATATTGCTAGTATGTGTACTTCAGAAATAGCACTTGTAAAAGCATCATGTTGTTGCCTGGTTTCTCTTATGACAATGTGGAAAAAGAACCCAAGTCAGATAACTCCTGCAGCATTTAAGGCTGCCAAAGAGTCTAGCAACTTGGTCAGAATTTCAGCAATATCATTTTAAGAGAGGATTGCATAAAATAGTTACTCCATGTTCCTTAGAATAAGACACAGAATTAAAATTCTGGGCTCTCAAGCACAATTAATTTTGGGTGCTTCACTATGAATTTCAAGTGAAATTATTTCTCACAGATTATGCCTGCCTGCAAGATCCCTCTACTGATGCTTAGCACCTTGAATTCCATGTTCCTTCTGACCGAGGGAGTCTCTTTCTATGTTGTTGCTGTTTTTCTCCCACTCTCACAAGACTGAAGTCCAAATACCATTACGAAGATAGGGCTGACACCAAACAAGGAATGCTGGAATATGGTAATGTTCTGGGTTTTGTGTGGGTTTGTGGTTGCAGACTACATATGCATGCTCCCCAAAATTCTGTCCTCAGGGTCAGGAATCAAAGAAATGCACTGAAGTCATACCAGAACCGGAATAGCTCTTCCAGCATAAGTGGCTGACTGAGCAAGTCAAACAGCAAAAACACCTTCCAGGTCTCCCAAACATGCAAGGCAAAAAGTTTGAGTCTGTGCCTGTACACGCACACACGCTAAAATTACCATTATGGCTATCTGAAGCAACAATCTTTTCATAATGTTTCAATAAGAAACACTTCTTGCCGGCTTCAGCAATACAAATGTAAATTTCTCTACACATTTGCTTTCCAGCTGTTTTACATTCTCACTCAATAAGAGTAAATGCTTCCCTTCTTTGTTGGCAACCTGGTACAAGTGCCAAAAATTGTGCACGAATCTTTCATTGGTTATCTCCAACTCTAGGTAGGACTAGCACTGGCTTATGAGTTACTACTTTAGATACTGCTTTAGCTCATGACTAAAATATTCCTGCATTTCCTCTGAAACAGCGAAAGGCTGTTAGCTCCAGTCGGCATGCGGCAAGCAAGAAGGTGGCTTGTGAGACAGGACTAATCGGAAACTGGATTGCCCTGAAAATGCTAGACTATTGTCAAGTTCTGTGCAGTGAATGGACTGCATAGTCAGATTCACGTGCCAGGAGGAAGTAAGAAATAAACTCCTTTCTCAGACCACATTTGACCTTTGCTGCTCCTTGTAATAAGGGACAAAAAATAGAATTCTCTGCTCAAAGAAAAATAATTTTGGATGCTCAATGATGAATTGCAAGTGAAAATTTGACTGGAATAAACCACACACCCACATTTTTGTTTAATCTATGATGGATTTCAAAATGAAAATGTATTTTGGCTCATTTCAGTTGCTTTGTCACAATGTATTTTAGTCAACTTCACTTTATTATGGCTCCTCTTCCAAATTGAGGTTTATAGGATCGAAAATATATACATGTGGGTTGTTTTACATTACCTGCTTCTCATCCTTCTGAGACACACTTTATTTGTTCTTTCCTAAGCATGCCTATAATAAGTGAGTAATTCCCTAGGCATACATATAATAAGAGTTTATTTTTTAATGTTTGACAAGCTGCTGAAAGTGACAGAGGATAAACAGGAGCTGAAGAAAGCTGACTTGAAACTAATTAACACGTGTGTAAAAATCTAACATGAAGAAGTTAAAGTCCTCATACATCTTGGGAAATTTAATGCAGGGCCTTCTCTCATTACTCTTGCTGGATAAAATGCAGCCTAGCAATCATCAGGGTGGTGTGAACACAGGCCATATGCAGCACGGCACATGGGATGGCTGGACGGACTGAGCTGGGCTACTTGTTGACTGTGTGAGGTGGAGCCTTGGCACAGTATCGTCATCTACTAACACAAAGGGAGGGTGTGGAACCTCACTGTGACACAAGCAGGAGGCTCCCACCCCTCACCTGTTGTATCTGGATAAAGCTCTGAGCTTTGCGCCCTACAATCCTGCTCAGCCTCCTTGAGATGCCTCTATTGGCTTGAGTACTCTCAGGAAAGAACGTTGGGGTATTTTTGCCTGACACTCCGAACATGGAGCAAAATGGGGGAAACCCCACTCAAGACGGCTCCATGAACACTCCAATGCTTTGGACACCTGCTGCAGTAACAAATACTTGGTATTTCTACTGTGTATTTAGTTTTCAGAGCAGACCTGTGGTTGGCAACCTCAGGCATCAGTGCCTTCCCTAAGCCCCCTGTGCTGGGCTTGGGGACTGTCACTGTAATCTCCCACAATGAACCAGAGCAAAGTATCGTGGGGTATTCTGGGAAAGTAAAAGGGTAGTTCCTAGAACAGCCAAGTAAGCCCACAATGGCCCCCACAAATGGCTACCCTGCTAAGTGACTCCTCAGGCCTAGAACAGCCCTTGATCCAAAGTGCCTCATATCCTTTGTCTCATTAATCCTCAGAGACCCTGTTAACTAGACCTTTGTTACCATTTCTATATTACACATGAGTAGGACATGGAACAATGAACTTCAACTACAGTACACCAGGTGCAGGCTAACAAAGAATTTCCTAGCGGTCAGAGGAATACAACAGTGGAACCAGTTGCCAAGAGAGGTTGCGTGCTCTTCCATACTGGAGACATTCAAGAAGAAAATGGACAGTTATCTGAGTGGGGTGGTGTAACTGGCATCCTGCACCCACAGGGGGTTGGACCTGATGGCCTTCTTGGCCCCTTCCAACTCTACTATCCTTTGACTTTGTGATTTAGGCAAAGTTTAATGGCTTATGCCTTGTGCATTTAACGAGTTTGTGTTCAAAGTGACATAAACAGGGGATTGGTTCACACAGCTAAGCATCCCAAGCTGTTTCTACGCAGGTGGGCAACTTGAAGACCTCCAAATATTTTGACCTACAGCTCTAGCCAGCCCAATGGTAAAGGCCAGTTGCCCATCCTTGAACTACGGCACAGAAGCACATGATTCACTTGTACAAGATCTCCAGGCAGGACTAGGAAAATCTCCTCTCTGAAGCCCTGGAGAGCTGCCATTAGTCCATGTGCAGATGATACGGGCCGAGACACATCAATGGTCTGACTTGGTCTAAGAGAGTTTCCAATTTTCAACCACATTAATTCTTTCAGGGATGTAGCTAAAGTTTGCCAGATTTGACCTGAATGACGTGCAGCTTACCGACTAATGTGTAATAAATAAATAAATGAGCAAGTATTTTAAAAGACACAAGCTCCCAACCTCTGTGGAAGTGAGACAAAATAAATGAACTAGCTTACCTGCAGGCAAGTGAATGGTGATGTTGTTACAAAAGTCTGTATAGCAGCACTCTGTCTTGGTTATGTTCTTGGAACTATGGCAGAAAATTTGTGCCTTCAGTTGTGGTAGGGAAACGCATGCCTTTATTATCTCTTCTTTACCATTTGTTAGCATGACCGAAGTCCAACATGCTCCTTCCGTTTCACAAGTGTAGTTTGTTTTTTCACACAGTTGGCACACACATGTTAGACCTGAAAATTGAATTCAGCACTTTTACCAGTCCATGAAGAGAAAGCTGAATACGCTTTAAAAACAGAAAAAGTTACAGATCCTGATGAAAATAGTTAGTTTCACTCATAATCCAAAACACTTAAATTACATTTTACCTGATTTTTTAAATTTCACTACCAATCACTTATGGCTTACCAGCTTTTGTGCAGCTCGTTCCTTTCTAGAAGGTTGAAATGCCTCTTCCAAGCCATAGCTACTGGCTAAAATAGGCGGGCATTTTTGGTACTGTGGACTTTGGCTGCACCCACCATTCGAATACAGGCCCCAAAAACTTCTCTAAAATGGAATTTGGCCCTTAGGCAAAAGGGGCTCCGTAACACCAACCTACAGCAGCCACATACTACAGTGGTACCTTGGCTCACGAACGCCTCAGTTCACAACCAAATCGGGTTGCAAACAAAAATTTCGACTCAGGTCGCAAACTCCACATTGGGTGGCGACCGCGATTGCGGCTATCTCCCCACCCCTGAGTGGGGCGATGGCTGCAATCGTGCTGAGGGCAGGGGGGAGATGGCCAAGATCACGCCCGTCTTTCCTGCATGATTGCGCCCGTTATTGTGCCCGTCTTTCCTGCACGAGAGTAACCACAATCTCTGCCATCTCCCGCCCAGCACAATTGTGCCTGTCTCTCACCCCCCGCCCCAGTGCGCTGGGATGATGGGCGCAATCGCAGTTCTGCTGCGGGGGCAGGGAGATGGCCACAAACTTTGTCACTTTGCTTCACATTTTTCTGATTAAAAAAAAATAGTTACAGAATGGATTAACCTTATTTACATTGAACCTTATGGGGAAATTTAACTTGGCTCACGACCAATTTGGGTCACAACCAGAGTCCTGGAATGGATTACGTTTGTGAGCCGAGGTACCACTTTATATTACTTTTTATTTATTCCTGTTTATATTTATAAGCCACCAAGTAGTTCTGATAGACTCTCTAGGCGGCATCCCTACAACAGCAAAATTACAACTAGAGAACAACATTAAAACAATCATTAAAATATAAATAACAAATTGATGATGATGATGATAATTTAACCAAAATCGTTTAAAAACATTTCCAGGTGAGATAGACAACCAAATTAACTAAAATTGCAATAAAATCAGTAAGTGCCTAAAAATCTATTATTAAAATCAGTTATTAAAATTGTCAAAGTTTTTGAAAGCTGAGTTGGTGCCAGGCAAACTTCTCTGGGGTGCCTGCCCCACAGGTGGGGGCATCCACCAACGGCCCTTCTTCTATTTCCACCCCTCGCACCTCCTTGAAGGATGGCTCATTCAGAAGAGTCTCTCCAGGAGGTCCATTCATAATTTTCCAGAGAGCTGAGTTAAATATGACTTAGAATAATTTCAGGCCTCACTAATACAGCTTCTGCAGAGACTCTGCCAGCTTTATGACACAGGAAAGATGTGCTCAGCTGGTGAACATCTGCTAACAGCACATTGTGGGCAATGACTCTTGATTTTTATGCTGTGAACATTCACAAATAACGGGAGGTCCAACCACTGTAATGTATTTCACAGTCTCTGCCCAGAGACTTCATAATCTTAGCACCAATAAACTCAGAGTTGCATCAGTTTTGACCAAAAGCATTACATGAAGGTTTCTCATTAACTGTACCAAACACGAGCTGTATTACATGTTAATCCAGAATGCATCTCTCACATCACACCAAACAGAAACACACAAATGTATAGTTACATCAAGTTAAAAATGCAATGACTTTCCATTGGTACATGCATCCTGTATCCATCTGAGGGAAAGGGAATAAAGATATTTTTTTATCAAATGTGTTTAATTGGCTTATTTCCCTCTAAATTGATGTATACTTTCAATGTTCTGTTTTGTTGTATGTGAAAAGCAAACTTCAGACACTGAGTCCAATCTTCCTAAAAGCATATAATTTCCCAACTTTATTCCATGTATTTTAGTGATTATTTGTGCCACTATTTTCCCTAAATGACTGCTTATGATTGTAAACAAGTGCAACATTTGTGTTCTTAGTCATTACGGATAGATAAAATTTATCAGATTTTCCTGTTGGAAAATCAAACATGCATCGACTGCATTTTTGTGGAATAAACAGCACCTGCAACGAAATTCAGCAGTGTCAAATAATACTGTTCAGGTTTCCAGACAACCAATAAGCCATCCAAGCGCTTTCCCAAAATAGTCTATTCCATTCCCTGTCCCCATTTTCCATTCCTTCTCTAAAGGGTACCTGCCAACATATGCAGTGTTCTCCATTCATGCATTAGACACTGTCCAAAAAAATCTGTTTAGCCCTGTCAAAAAAGCTCTTTTAATAGAAAAGCCTTACATTTGACAGAAAAAGTAAGTGCTTCACTGTAAGGCTGGGTTGCACTTTCCATTTTCACAAGCACTCAGAGGCATGGAAGGCCATAAACGGTCAGGTCCAACCACTTAGAGGATGTTGTTGCAAAGGGGGGGATCTACTTGCCACCTCATTCTCTATCTCCTCACAGCGTTGTTTTCACGTGGCAACTTGCCATTTGACAGTTGTCAAGTGACAACTCAGTGACGTATTTGAAGCCTGGCTCTCAATGTCCGTAAATGGCACTTTCTTTGACAGCAAGCACTGACCAGGACATTCACCAAGCAAATCATCAAATTTCAGATAGTCAGAGCTCACACTCGTACAACTCTGCATTCTGACAAAAATAATAATAAAAAATAAAATATGTGTGCATATTTGTGGGGGAAAGGAAAGTAGCAAATCAGTCCAACTGATGCCACTTGGGCACTCTGGAGAGGCTGTCACTGACTGCCATGAATGATGATGACCATGAAAAGCAACCTCCAAGGAAAGGGAAAGGGAAAAAAGGGAGGCGCCATGGCAACCGCAAAAGGGGATACAATCACAGCAAGGAGATGAACCCATACCGCTCTAGCTGCCAAATCCCCTGGAGTACTGGCAGAAAGAGCAAAGGAGCCAGGGGAAATGCATGGTGAGAGCAATGGGCTTCTGGGCACTCTGGGTTTTTCCACAAACAAACCACACTGTGTGGCTGATTCGCAGGGTGGGTTGCCATGACGTGCAGACTCACTCAGCGAGGCCATACCCAGCCTCGCTGCCTGAAGTGGATGTTCTCAGCAGAGTCAGGGCAGCGCTAGAAGAAAAGGCAGTGGGAAGAGACACAGGAGGCATTTCTAGATTTCCCAAAGGAAAATCACAGCACATTGCACATTAGCGCTGACCCATGCCCTCTTTTGGGGATGCATCTCCTCTGTTTTGGCAATGCATAACTGCTCTAGTTTGGTTACTCATTCAGAACAATGCAGTCATCTGTCCAGGGCCTCGTGAGGCTAATCCTCCAAGGTGCCCAGGAACACCCAGAGCACTCGCACCTTCCTCAGGGCCTCAGTAGCTTCTTTGACGGGGCCCGCTCCCTCTTCTCTTCCTATCAGCCATGCCTTGTCCTCCACCTATTCGCTCTTGCTTTCCATGAGGCCAGTGCCTCCTGTCTCCTCCCTCGTCTTTCCTGCCCTTCGGTGCTCCCCCTGTGCTCTCAGCGGTGTCTGCCCAGTCCATCAGCAAGGACACCAGGAACCGCCAAAGGCATGGGCACCTTTGCTGGCAGAACAGCTACAGCTGAGAAGCCAAAGAGCCATAGTTTGCCTGCCACTTTTTGAGGATAATGATATCCTCAGAGCAATCTGGGTGTGCAAAATTGCCTTTCCTTCCCAGCCTCTCCCTTATGCCTTTTAGTGGAGTGGAGCTGCTTGTCTGGGGCTGCTCCTACGTGAGCTAAACCCGAATATCTGTCCACTTTGCACTCCAAGTCGCCATTCGGCAGGTAAGCGGTGCCTCTCTTCTGAAAGGGCAGAACGAAGATTTCTTGTAAAAGTCAACCATGAGCCATTTAATCCTTAAACTAAATGGGGGGGAAAGTGGTCTTAAAGTAGACTAAAATAAGACGGTATTTACTGCTTTTCCCCAGGAGGACTGCAGATAAACTGAATGGGCTTTGAAATAACATCTCAAAAGTAAGTCAACTGTGATCATGCACTTGTTTACTGCATTTTTCTAAACCATGTTTTACTGGTTGGGAAAAACATTGATTTTCTATTTTAGTCATAATGGAATATTTTTCCTATGCAGATATGACTCATACCTATTCCCCTAGCCTTTGCCATTCAATTCTGCTCCAACATATTAGTCTGGAATAGAAATCCTAATTTTGAAAAACTAGGACCTGAAAGGCCAGTCATGTTACAGCAGATTACTACATAAATTACTCTGACCCTTCAAGCTAATTTGGAATGCTTCTGATTCATCATTACTTGAACAGACCACTGTGTACAAGTGCTTGAAAATCTAATTTCAGTAGATCCAAACACTTCCAGAAAAAGTAAATATGATTCAGTAGGCTGTCAGGTTCTCAAATGCTATGATTCGTTCAAAAATTGCCTTCTCACAGATTGAGCTGGATCTTTTGGATGCAACAGGACATCCCAGTGTACTGCATATTTGCATCCAAATGTGAAATAAAAAAGTAATTTTGTTCTACTATTTATTGATTACATTTGTATTCCAACTTTTTCTTCCTCCTCCTCTCCATTTTATCCTCAGAACAAAGGCAGGTTAGGCTTAAAGTCATCATCTGGCCCAATGTTACACAGTGAGTTTCCTAGCTGACTAGGGACCAAGAACTCAGATCTTCAATGACATAGTCCAAAACTAATTGCCGCACTCTTATCTGATCTCAACAATCTATTTCACCAAAACTGTAGAGAGGGGTTCGCAGCCATGAGGGTCCTACAACTGGCAGACAGGGCAAGAGAAGTGACAAGCGAGCAGTCATTCAAGCACGGGCAAGACTTTGGACCTCATCAAACATACGTGCATGCAGCAAACATCAAACATTAAAGCAGGGCTGATGGGTGGCCCACTGAGTGTCCTCCTCTGAACCAACAGATACGAGGGCAGGCTCATCTGAT